AGAATCGTGAGGTCAGGAGAAAATCAAACATGTTTGATTTTTAGTCAACCGTCATGGGCAAATCGCTCAGTGGGCATGCGCAAAGAAGGACTCCTCTTCCTTCTCTCAGATGAAACCACAGAAGCATGGTGGGGTTGCGGTTTCTTCATACAGTTTGAGCTGCAGCTGCGTGCAACGACTGAAAAAATTGTAAAGTGTATGCCTGCATTTAAAGGGCCAGGTATGCCATACTCCCGGAGCACCCACCACAGGACCCTGTGGATCCAGGGGACATGGTTAAATGCCTTCTCCAGATCCACCAAACACATGTAGACTGGTTGGGCTAACTCCCATGCACCCTCCAGGATCCTGCTGATGGTGTAGAGCTGAATGTTCCACGGCGAGAATGAAAACCACACTGCTCCTCCTGAATCTAAGATTCGACCATCAGATGGACCCTCCTTCCCTGAAAATATATTGCCCTCAATCTACAGAAATCCCCTAAGTAATGTGAAAAAAAGTAAAACGCATGTATTATCCTGGTAAAGGCTGCAAAACAATTTTTTAGGGTTTAGTACTAGAGCACAGAATAATTAAACTGTTTTTTTACCAAAGTAATTGAAACATGATGGAAAAGTTTTTCAGACCAAGTCATTCTAAAAACACCCTGCTGGCTAGGCCAGGATGTCACATAAAGGCCCAAACAAGGTGTAATGCACTATAGGTGTCAGTTTTCTCTAGTAAAGTTACAATTTATAATTCCAGAGGAAAGCGATTGTAAAACCTAAGCTTTAGGGCAAAGGCACTGCTGACCAACAAGAATAGAAGGCACATTTAATGAATAGAATATTTCAACACACCAACCTTTTTGAAAAACTGTGGACTGATAAGACAAAAGTTGAACTTTTTATTCTGTTATATTTATGATGAAACCCAACACAGGTCTTAACGGAAATAATTTGATTCTTAAGGTCAAACATGATGAGGTCAATGGGATGATCTGCAGCAGCTTTCCTCCTTTTGAATCTGTAAACTTACAAAAAATTATGGAAGCATGCAAACTCTAGCAAATCCTTAATTATAATGTCTCCCAATCAGTTAATGGGTGTAAGCTCAAGCACCATTGATTCTTAGAAATGTATGAAATAAACAGGCCATCCATGCCCAAAATATTGTGACTGAAATCAGTCCTGAGAAGAAGATTTGCCAAATGTACATTCACAGCAAAAAGACTTAAAATCAGTTAATGAAGTGATGGAAGGAGTTAGGCTGTTACTAGGTTACAGAGGCAGTTACTTCTTAACTTGGACCAAGTTTAGTTTTACAGTTATTTTCTCATTTGAAAACTGTATTATGTTGTTATTAAGTTTGTCGATGTCTGATATGAAAGTTTATTTGCTAAAATCAATCTTTTGACAAAGAGCTAAAAACATAGGGCTTTATAAAACTGTAATCCAAATTGCCATTCACCTTTCTATACTGGAGCTGTTGTCCTGATGTGCCCTGCATCCATTTTGATGGTGACATTAAATTATTTTGACAGAAATGACATTGCCCTGTCACTTCGATGCCCATGGCATTATTAGCTCTCTTGTGGGCTCTTAGAAGTAAGATGTGTTTTCCTCCTTGTCCAGATGAAAAGAGAGAGGCAACCTACAAAGTGTGAAGTGCTGTCATAATTACTCTAGTGGCATAAGATGCACCAAACTTAGCTTAGATAAACATGAAGGTCCAGTCACTGAGTCTGGGTCAGTTTGCCCCTTTTTCATTTTGTTCCCCTATCTTTCACTTATACATTTCCATTTTGTCCCTGTTTTTCATTTTTACAAAAGGAACATAATTCAAAAGCTTCTCAGTTACATATATTGTTACATTTTGGATATCAAGAGGTTCAAATTTAATATATTATTTAATTGAGATTTATTTTGTTTTGATACAATTTGATATCAGCTTTTTTTAAAATTAGATTATGGATGTGATGATGTTTGGGCCAGTTGACTCATAGGAAAAAATAAAAAATTGCCAAAATAAGTTTAAGACACAGATGATGAGTAATAACATCCTGAAATTCTGAAAAAAAAACATCCCATGCAAAATGGGCCACAGATAGGCTAAAGTAAAATGAAGATTCTTTTGACAGGATCATGTCATTTTAATGCTTGAATTAGCTAAGGGAGTTTGAAACTCAATCAGTCCAAGTTTCTTTGCTTCCTTTACCTGGTCCTCCATGTGTGCTACTATTGGCAACACAACAATCATAAGCGCATTGAGACTCATCATTTGTTTTTCCATCTGCAGAGCGAGCTGTTATATGAAATATTAGCCCAGTCAGCATTAGTCTAAATACATCTTTCTTTTCAATGACTGACCACAGTACTACGATCTGTTCTATCCTAAAAATACCTGTGGGCTAGTGGAAGCCATTGTTTACATCACACTAAGACTCTCCTCTTTGCGATTTGATTGGCACAACTCATTCAATTCATTTCAGTTTATTTATATAGCACCAATTCACAACACATGTCACCTCAAGGCAATTTACAAAAACAATTTAACCAGATCATACAGTCCAATTGGTTCAAAGTTTTCATTCTAAGGAAAATCATCTGATTGCATCGACTTATTGACTTGAAAGCAATACCTCAAACCAAGCACACTCATCTACGGTGAACCAGCCATGCTTTGAATGGACAATAGCTTGACATTCCAGGGCTGGAAAAGCCATTTGCTCTTGCAAGTTGTAGATTTAAGGGCTAGAAAGCGGGTGCTTCTGTTGGGGGTTTATTTTGGTTCATTATTTTCTCATTGTACTTATCTCTTTACAAATACAACCCTCACTTGTCAAGTCCTGTCTTAGAAATGTTTTTTTGGGGGGAATTTTAACATGTTTTGTTACTTTAATTTTAGTTCTATAGTGGCTATTCATGTCATTGTAACTGACATATGCATGTTACAATAAAGTGACTTTCAAAGCCAAGAAACATTGTAAAGCAGAGTAAGGAAGTGTGATTTTTCTTTATCTAGCTTAGGGCTGTGTAACTCTTCTCTTTTATTTGGCATTAACCCAAAATGTTCCCACACTGCAGTTGTGAAGTGATGCTTTTAAACATGGACCATCTGGTCCCACCATATTGTGCCATGCTTTTTTTTCTGCTGGGGTGAAGCAGTCTAAGGAAATAACTATTCTGGTGGAATGTATATTCAAGGCTTCTTTTTTTGCTTCAGTTTACTACCATAGTTTAACTTATTTAATAATTACTCTACAAGTGTTTAATTCGAGGATAAATTTTTTGTTTTAATTTTGTTTCTGAGTCATCGTGGTTTTGAGTTTGTGTGAAGGAGTTGTGCCCTCCCCAACAGTTTACCGCCTACTCATCTTCATCAACTTTAGCTTGATCCTTTTTAGGATACAATAAATACTGGGATGAAAACAAGAAATATTGCATAAGCCTGGAGAAATCTGGCAGCAGGCAATTTAAGAAAACTACAGTGTTGTGAGTATTTGCCTCTTAGTTTTGCTCTGTTTTAGTTTGTTTACACACATCCATGTTTAAGATCACTCAACAAATTTCATTGATAAACTGAGTATATATAAAAAGGTATAGGTATAACGGTATAATAGCCAAGGTGAGAAAAGGCAACCCAGTTCTTTTTGTGTGACAGAAAATAAGTGTCTCTCAACCACTGGTGGAAACAACAGGTGTTGAGCATGTGCAATCAAAGGCAATGTTTTAAATCATTGTAAAGGAATGTTGGCATATTCTGCTTTACAGACTGTTTTTAGAGACATTGAAGTTTTTTTTTTATTTTTATTTAGCTTAAATGATCTATTCAGTATCAGATCTAAGTCTGGAATGTAACCGAGTCAGGTGGTGCACACCCTCCTCTCGGCCACTTCCTCCACTGAATCCAAAGCACAGCCCAGGATAGAAGTGGCCCTTCTCACCAGCTTGTTTAGTCTCTTTATGTCCCACTCTACGCTACCTGGGGCCCAGCAGACGATGGCATAGAGGAGGGCTGAGGGATACAGAGTCATCGAAAGTTTTTAGCAGGGGCGGGCTCATTAAAAGGGACCTTAGCCTCAGCAGGTGGAGGCAGCTCTGGCCCTTCGTGTACAGGGTGACGGTGTTATGAGTCCAGTCCAGTTTATTGTTGACATGAACACCCAGCTATTTGAATCTCTCCACAGTTACTATGTCCCCCTGGAAGTATGTTAAATTATTGGTTAAAATGTTTTTGATGATCTGAAACATTTAGTTGTGACAAAATAGTTAAAAATGAAGAAATCAGAGACAAAAACTTCTTTCATACCACTGTACATGAATATCTGTATCTTTTGAAACAAATTCTACAGGCACAAATGGCGATTTAAGACTTTTGCACAACAGTCTGTTGAATAGATTTAAAGGGATAACTATGGAGATACAGATGGTTTTAGGTGTATTGAAAATTTAATGGAATCTAATCCACTTTTTAGATTATTTTTACTAGCTGGAAGGCTAGACTGCCATCTGGCATTAATAGAGACATTTCTTGCAACGAATGGCAGCCCACAGCAACAAGTAGATGTACTGACATACTACGTGACCTTCAGTTAATGACAAAGGGAGAAAAAGAGGGCGAGGGTGTGATAGGTGGCATCTGAAATTAGTACAGGCGGAGTAATTGCTGCTAAATGTCTGCCCTTGTCTGCTTTTAACCACATTTCACATACATTCCCTTAATTTAGAGGCTTAAATATGATGAATGCAGCAGTCAGAGTAATAACAGTTGTAGGACTTACTTTACAAGGCACTTACAATCCTTGTTTTCTTGTTCGATAACTCGGCCGCTACAATTTTTCAAAGATATTTCCATATTTTTTATTTACTTTTCTAATAGATAGTATTTTTAGAAGATGTTTTAATATATTAACACTGTTTTCAAATTTGTAATCATTGCAGTGTGCCAAAATGAATGTAGGCTGCAATTATTTGAGACAGTCCTGAAGGTAAAACCATATTTTCTCTTTTGGTAAACAGGTGGTAAGGAAAACAAGATGCCCATCCTCATTTCTAAAATTTTCAAAGGCCTTGCTGCTGACCAGACTGAGGCACTTTATGTTGGAGACGCCATTCTGTCCGTCAATGGATTTGACTTGCGAGAGGCCACGCATGATGAGGCCGTGCAGGCACTTAAAAAAACCGGCAAAGAAGTCATCCTTGAAGGTAAGATATTTATGACTCACAGAGAGATAAAAAACTGAATAAACCCTTTGCTTTCTGTCTGAGAAATGACAGGAGAATAGAAAGAATTAATTGCAAAACAAATGTTGTCAATAAAGCAGGTTATTATCCACTGCATGTGAAATATCCTAATGCATATCCCGAGCGTTAAAACCTGTTAACACACCTCACCACTGATTTAATCTTAATAGGTTCTTAAAGTCTATGACAATCCTCAGGAAATAAGCAATAATAAGCTCAGGTCTCAATATGTTTCTGTGCATTTGTACAGCCTTTTGCTTCCATTAGCACCAGTTTGTTCTGAGCTGAAAGAGACTTTATTTCAACCTCCATAGAAACGGTTGAGATTATCTTTTGAAAAAAAGATGTAAAGACTTGTTTTGTTTTAGCTCTAAAGCCTGAGAGAAGCTGCAAGTTGCCAGAACAAGCATGTTGAGCCAAATGTGGCTCGCGAGCTACGCAAAGAGTGTCATGGGTGTAAGATATAGTTGGTATTTTCATCTAACCCTGCAAAACATGGTTTTATTTAAAAGATACAAATGAGCAAATACTTATATAACCAGGTCATTGCACCTTTTTTTTTTTTTTTTTTTGCATTTTTCACTCTGACAAATGTGTTTATAACTTATATATTTTTTTCATTATTATTATTATTTTAATTTTTTATTTTTATGTATTTTCTTTTTTCTTTTCTTTCTTGTAGTACTTTGATGTCTTTTTGATGAAAAGTGCAGTATAAATTAAATGTATTATTATTATTATTATAACTTACTATGTTCTAAAAGTATTTATTGTGGAGTCTTTTTCACAACAAAAAAGCTGACAACTCCTGTACTAGAGCCGCATGATTAGGAATGGATGTTACAGAAGATAACACAAATAAATTTCATGATAACAATATAACAAATTATAAATCAATACGGAAAAAAAGTATTGATGTCTTTCTGCTTTGGCCTTAAATAAAAAGTCTATCAAACATCTGGAGTAAAGATAGTAATATTTTGCTTCGATCCTCGAAGATTTTGTCTGCCTGACTATTGCTGTTTTGGCAATGTAACAACTTAGAATTTGTTTCTTACTGACTTACCTCCTGTCCATGTCTTTTCCTTCTAAAAGATGTTCATGCTACACTGACCAATATGGTTGAGAAAAAAAAAATCACAGGCAGACAGAAACGCTTTGTGTGGTACTTTAATAATTATATAATATTTATTGTAGTCCAAGCAGTTCCTCTGAAATGTGATGACAATAAATTAGCAGTTTATTGCACAGCCACATCTTGCAGTTATGTTAAACAAGCTTCTTTCTCCGTATGAATCATAGCTGACCATGCCATAGCATTTCTATTAGGTTATTTTTTAGTTGGCCAGCATCACTGGCACACAGATGCAGACAAGACACAGCTAGAGCTCCTGTCAGCCCAAATCATTGCAAATCTCTGATGTGACATGTCCACAGTCAGGCAGAAAAGTGTTGATATCAGACATCTCAGCTGGCACTGCTCTCTGATCCGTAGTGTCGGGAATCATTTTATGGGTTTCCCTTCCCAGCGGACCAGATAGTGGAGGGAGGAGAGGAATGAAGCTTGCAGGCTAGCTGAGCCAGTATGATGTGTGTGTGTTTGAATCCAGATCCAGCTTTTTTCTTATTTTTTGATGTTAGATGGGTCCATCTGACCTGTAGATGACAGGATTACTTGATGTCTATCTGTAAAGTGATTTTTTGGGCATATAAGGAATGCAGAAATTACATTCTTGCCTGGTAAGCCTAGAACCTTTTAAACTCCAACTTTAAAAATCTGTGTACTATTTTATTTCTCCTAGACAATCACACAAGTATGTGTAAATACAGATGAGAGAGAATGTGCATATTTAGTGTTCTCCTTTGCTTTTTGGCATTTTATCAAGATTTTCAGAATCTAACTCATTCTTGTAACAGCTGCAGTGTTAAAGTTCAGATCTTTTTTATGTACCCAACAAGAAACAACCACCTCTGTTGTGCTGAAGGCGATTGTCGGTGCTCTGGTGAATTCATTGCACAGACAGCCTTGACTGAGATGAAGGTGAAACAGCTTTCATCACATTAAAATATCTGGAAAGTGTGAACAGAAGCACTTGAACATTTCAGATAAGTGCTTTCAGGAAGATAAATTAGCCTCCCTGGTTTCTCACCTGTGCCAGAAAAATAAATGCAAAAACACTTGTAAATTAAACTTTTGCAGCAATCCATGCAGGGAAGCTGAGTTAGCCCCTCTCATGACATTCACATGCTATTATTATCTTATAATAGAGATTCCTTTCATACAGAATTGTCTGCATCTGATTTAAACATTACAGAGGGATATTGGAGGGATTTTGATTTCCCAACTGCATATGTGACACAGTTGGAAGTATTTAACCATTGTACATTATTGAGTTTTATTAAATCATGTGAATTCAATGTCCCACACGGTTGCTTAGCAGCCAGAAGAGCTTGGAAAGGGCAGCACTGACCAGCTCTCTGGTGTAATGTGAATTTTTGTGAAACTTTTTCAGCATTTGCATTTTTGAGTTGAAAAGGAAAAAAACTAGCTTACCTTTCGACCTTAATGTTACACCTTCTATCAAAATGGAGAATGAATAATCAATGTGTTTGTAAGAGAGGGGACATGGGAGGGTCAGATAAATATAACAGACCAAATGAAACCATAAAAGCACAGCTGCCCTCATTTCCTCCCAGTGACATTTACTGCCCCACTCACTGTGTCTGTGTTGGGTGTGTGGGGTTATATGTGACTGTAAGAAACCATGTTCTGTGTACATGCTGTGTCTGTGTGATTTTGCTTTTGGTGCAACTCTCTAGCTAGATTAAACCATTTCTCTAGTTACAGAGAAGGGATGAAGGTCAACTGCACTCTCACTATTTTCTTTCCAACTTACCTATTCATAAGTTCATCTCAGGGTTTGCCAGCCAAGTCAACCTTTCTTACTTGTGCACACATTCACTGTTGCACAGTAATAGAGAAATAAAACATTGCATTTGTCCTTGCTTGTTAATGTGAAATATAAAAAGGGTGGTCTGGAATACCGTAGTTGTAAAGCTGTTCCCTGGGAAACCAAGATTTGAGAAGAAAATAAGCATGGACATACACACTTTTACACGTTGTTATCAAGGAGAGGAAGGAGAATATATAAATGAAAACAGGGCTGGATGATGAAATAAGTGTGATTGATTACAAGGGTCCAGGTTGAGTTTATTTTTCCCTCCTTTAATGTGTGTATGCCTTATTTCCTTGTTATTTCCATGTGTCTACTTAGTAAGCTACTGCAAAAGCTCTGCCAACGAGAGAATGGATGGAAAATCCATTAGGATTTTTTTTTATGCCAGTGACCTTTACCCCTGTTCAAACCATTGGATTTTGTCATAGTTGTTGTTGTACTGAGTTAGTTTAAATCAAGAAAATAATCAGAACTGAATCCACACTAAACCTCTTAGAATTCTGATCTTAGAACCATACCATGCCAAAGTATTCATAACACTCGAACTGTTTTATGTTTTGTTATATTGCAACTATAACAATACAAAGCAGTGCATAATGGAGAAGTGGGCCTGTTGTTATTCATTTTTGTGAATAAATAACTGAAAGTGTGGTTTGCATTGGTTTATAGAAATAAATAAAAAGGATGCATCTGCAGCAAAAAGAATAATACAAAACATCAGCTTCTATCTTTGTGGTTGAATTATGGTTATTATGGTGCAAGCTACAGCTTTATTGAAAGTGGTCATAAATGAAATGGTGCATTAAGTTTTCATTACATATTGTATTCTAGATTTTGTTTTTGTTTACATTGAAAGCATAGTTCTGTTCAAATAAAATAGAACTCCTCATATTGTCTTTGGTGCAAAACAGACTTAATAAAAATACACATTCATCAAAAAGGTAAACTACTGTTTCAAATTATGATATAATACAAATTCTGCTCACAGCTGCACCCGCCTGAACCCTCTCTTTGATTTTACATAACCATCCAAAAAGTTCTGTTGAAATCAAAGGTTGGGTGTAGGGTCGAGTATTTTTAAGGATTTATCATTACTTTAGTTTTAATCAAACAAAATGGTTAAAATTTAATAGTATACAGTATTAAAGATGAGGTCTAGATCATATTTAGATTGCATTTTGCCATCTAAGGTGGGATTAGTCGAAGCTTTGCTCATGCAACACGACTCATTGTTGGAAAACAGACGATTAGCTGTCTTCCCCCCTGACTCCTGCTCAGCGGGGCTGACTAACTGACTAACACCTTTCTGAGCCTTTATAAGCAGGAGAGGCTCAGTCCTGCAGTCACTGAAGACAGTAAACGCGTCACGGTTAATGGTTCTGACTTCTCACATAAGTTTCAAGTAACACAAATAAGCTAGTAGAATCATCACTACTAACTATTGGATAAAAGCAAAAAGTAAGTCATTCTGAAATGTCGTTAAATTTACAATAGTGTTAATAAGATCATAAGCAAGTGTTTTCTGAGCTGGACTGTCCATGAAAAGTGAAATGGCACCTTAATATTTACGACTGAAGCTTGTTGCTCCATGAGGACGGTCTGAAGGTGTCCCCGGGGCCGTTTTGATACCGCATTTCAGTGCCCATTCCAAGTAGGGGAACAAGCAGAGTGTGAGGATTCCTGAGGAGTGCTGAGAGGTAAAGTTGAAAGTGAACCTGCACCTTAATTACTTTATCTATTTCTCTACACTACTATCTGCCCTTTGTTTCTCTCTCGATTGCTAATGAAAGCACATTGCCTTCCCTGTATCAGCAGGGTATCATTAGTGGTATCCACCCACCCAGAATACAGTGGCTGTATCATTAAACAAAGTCTTGATACAGATGATTTGCCTCGAAGAATCAGTGTCCTCGAATCATTTGATAAATCGTTACAGAGATATGTCTTCAGTTTTATTCATAAGAGTCTAGAAAAGGTCTTAAAATGTCTTGATTTTGAGTTGGT